AGCCACACAAATGGCCAATAAACATATGAAAAGATATACTTATTATCTGGGAAATGCCTATTAGAATCATAACAAGACACCATTTTCCCACCCAGGCGATTAGCAAAAATATTGATGTTGGCAAAGGTAGAGCCCCTCCCCTACTCTGTCATGAAGCATAAATTGTCCCTGGTCTTTTTAGAGGGCAATCTGCCAGATTTTGTAAAATGCAAAATGCATACTCTCTTCGCCCAGCATTTCTCTCTCGAGGGATTTATCTTACAGAACCACAAATACACAAAGACGCATGACCAAGGGTGCTCACTGCTAGCATAGCCAGAATAGCCAAGTATCATAAAGAATGTAATGCCCACCAATGAGAAGCTAGTTAAATAAAATCATGACAATCCAAATGATAGACTATAATAATAATTATGTGGCTAAAAGGGCCAGACTTGTAAGAGAAAAACCAAACTTTTAAAACTATAGTGGGGGTTCCATTTATATAAAAGAAAAAAAAAAAAGGAAGCAAAATTGTATAGTCACATATACACAGGTGAATAGAAAAATTCATGACAACCTGACAGCCTCAAATACCTCCAAAATATTTTGAAGGAATTAAAATTGCAGGGGCAGATTTTTAAAATAACAAGAATGTATTTGTGTATTACTTATGTAATTAAAATAGTTTTTTAAAAGTTGTCAAGCTCATCAGCAGGTATGGTGGCACCCCTGTAATTCCAGCACTCAGGAGGCAGGAAGATTGAGAGTTCAAGGCCAGCTTGGACTATATAGCAAGACCCTGTCTCAAAAACAAACAAACAAACAAAAAAACCTATCAACCTCCTGTCTGTGCTAGCTCCGTGCTAGGAGCACTAAAGGGTTGTGCGTTACCTTATTTATTACTTGCACACCTCTGAAATTAGGATTGTTTCTACAGGCAGCACTTTACCCTCTACTTCAAGCATGCCACCCTTGGGCAGAGGCACCCAAAGGGCCTTCACTTAAACTCAACAAGCTGATGCATGCTGCTTCCATGGAGAAAAGTGCAGCCCAGCCAAGTCTATCCACAGACAGGGATTACAGCTCACAGGTTGGTGGGCTGCAATGCTAAGTGATGCCTAAAGTCTCACATCCAGCAGGTGGGACTTACTGAAGTCAGCATTTGAATGTGCCTCCAAAGGCCATAGTGAACGGTGCCCCATTCTTCAGGAAGACCAAGGCTATGCTCCTGGGTGCCACAAGGTTATACCCTGAGGGGGAGGGGGAGGAGATGAGCCTACGATACCCATCATTATTCAGTATCAATTGTCTAATAAATATAAGGATGTATGAGTCCAGGGGCCCAACCTTCAAGTTGGGAGTCAGGAAAAAGACTAGATCCTACAGCAGCAGGATGGTACTTCTGCCTTGAAGTAAGTTAAGAGTCTGATCAGGGTGAAAGAGTTAATGAGTCATGATGTTATGAGCTATATGCTAGAGTCCTAAAACCAAAGGGTTGATTTTGGAGGTCACAGAGTTGAAGCCTTGAGGAAGAGATGATATTTGACATGATGGGGGAGGTGGTGGGGAGCTACTGTAGGTTCTGTAGCAGAGCTGCTCATGGTTACAGAGCAGAAGGGACTGATAGAAGGCAACAGCTTCACCAATCCAGCGAGAATTCCCATGCCAGCTCAGGGAGAGGAAATGTCCTGTTCTACTCACCTACTTATTTTAAGTTTCTTTTCATTTTGTGGTAATCTAACTCTTCCTAAAAAATTTTTTTTGGGGGGAAGCCTAAAGAGGTAGGTAATCTTGGGCAAATGGAAAAGAAAAGAGTGGGCCTCCAAATAATGTATACACATGTAAGTAAATGTAAAAATGATGAAAGAAAAGAAAAGAAAAGGAAAGAAAGAAAGAAAGAAAAAAGAAAAAGACAGGAAGAAAGAAAAAGAAAGAAAGAAAGAGAGAAAAAGAAAGAAAGAAAAAAGAAAAAAAGAGTGGGCCTTACTCAATACATATGGTCTGACTGACAAGGAAAAAGAAAAAGAAATTAAGCCAGGAGGAGGGGCATTTTGCCCGGGGGGGTGGGGGGCACATGGACTAGGGAAAGGGACAAGTGCAGGCTGGGGTCTGGCAGAAGCTCCCAGGCAGGTACACAAGTCATTCAGGCTTGATCTGGCCCTCACCCCTACCCAGCCGTACTTCCTGCTGCTCTCTGCCTGTACCTGCAGTCTTGAGTTCCACCACAACAAACTTCGCTTCCTGAAAGGGCCATGCTGATTTGTGCCTTGGGACCTTTGCACACACTACACTCCTCCTTCTGAAATGCTTTTCCTTTCCCTTCCTCCAAATTCCAATTCATCCTTTAAAAGCCAAAAGCTTTTCACAAAAAAGCTGGTGGAGTGGCTCAAGGTGTAGGCCCTGAGTTCAAGCCCCAGTACTGAAAAAAAAGACTGGCAGAGGGAGGGGACAGAGATCTGGGGATGCCCAGTTCAGGGCCAGAGGAAGCTGCTACGACTGCAGCTGCAGGGAGTTAAGAACCTGCAGGGGTGTTCAGGAGGCCCAGGAAAGCAGCTTCACAGGAAAGTGTCAAAGCCCAAAAAGCTGAGATAAGACTGAGAAAGAGGACAGATTTCTGTACCTCCGTTATTCCACTCAGCAAGCAGGCCTGACAGCAACAGTGCTGTTCCTTTGTCTGGGGGGGTGGGGGGGAGGACATGGATATCTTGATAAGCTACCTGTGTTTTCCCAACATTCTTGTTACCTTCAGCTAGCCCTTCCCTGCCCCTAGGCAAAGCTCAGAAGGGCAGAGTGTGGTCTTCCTAGTCAGGCCTTCTAGAAGTGGGAAGCCTAATTCTAATTCCATGCTGGCTCCACTCCCTATTTGCTGTATGAGCTTGTGGCCGTTCAGGGAACTTTCTGCCCCTAAATCTTAAATGAGAAAATGCGTAGTTCTAGAACTTGCACTGGAAGTCATGGAGTTCTTTACTGACATCTTCAACTACAGTGTAAGAATAAAGAACAGTTTCACTGGCAGAAGATACATTTTGTTTGGAGGTCTCCACCCACAAGTCTTAGAGGTACCCATAGTATTTTAAATTAAATCAGCCTTTTTCTATTTTTTTGTCTAAGCTCATTGGTTGGGGCAGGGATGCAAATGCCAAAATCTGGCAGATTTTGATAGGTGAGTTTCTGATGCCTGCTGAAGTGGGTGATAGACACATAGTTTTTTTAATACCACCCTCTCTACTTCTGTGTATGTTAGCAAATGTTCTTAATTTTAAAATCTTTTTTGAATTTTAGTAGAAAACTTCAAATAGAAAAACATTCATGTTCATTTCCTGTAGGTGGAAAAAGACCCCTTTTTACTGTGACTGAGGGCAGCCTCTGCCTACTGCTTGGAGCAGTGCCTGAGAGTCACAGAACTTCCAGAGCTCTTCCAGGGTTGCGTGATCAGCTCAGTGCTTCCTGCCTCAGGGCCTGGTAAGAGCAGAAATACTGCACAGAATGGGGGTAAGAAGAAAGCCCCTCACGCCCCTTGCTCGGACTTCTAGGCAGCAATGGAACAATCAGCCCACTTCCCCAGTGTCCACCCCACAGACAGCACAGCACTCAGGGCTAAGAGCCTTTTTCCAGGCTTTTCCACCAGAATAATTTCTGCCTTCCAGGATCCAGAAGGAACTGGGAATGACCAAGCAGCCAGAACCCATGTCCCTTCCCCATGCTTGCAACTTTCCCTAGAGCCAGCTTTCACATACCTCAAATGGCCTGGGGTGAAGATGACAGGGAGCTAAGGTAAAATACCCCGAGCAGGTTCCCACCCCCTCTCTGAACTTTCTCTTCTGGCTACAGTTGTGGTGGGAAGACTGATGGCCTTCCTTCTTTTGGCCTGGCTTCCTCACCTCCTTTCCCCACTGCAGCCCCCCTTGAGCAGCCCACTCCACTCCCACCTTTTGCGGGCTTGCCCAGTGTGGTGGGCCTGTCTCCAGAGCACAGTGAGCTGGGCAGCCTCTCCCAGAAAACCTGCTTTCAGACACCCTCTCCCCGTCTCCCTCCATTCCATCTCAGGCCCCAGCTGCAGCTCCTCTCTCCTAGCCCATGCATGCTGGCATTTCTGCACACATGACCTGAGACTCTGCCTCTGTCCTCTGTTTGGTGGGCTCCTGGCTCCCGTGGGTTGAAATCCCAGGTTCTGCTCTTCCCCATCTCACCTGGAACCCTGGATTCCCACTTGCCCAACCTCTTTCTCCTAATAGGAGTAAATGGCACAATCACCACTAGGTGTCGGGGCCAGACCCCTGGGAGTGTCCTTCCTGGTCGTCTATCAGTTCCCTGGCCTCCCATTCATCAGCAAACCCCACTAATTTCATCTCCAAAACACAGATGAAGCTGTCCCGTCTGAACTGCTGCCATCGAATTCACATGGACTCATCCCTCTGCACAGACGCCACCATGGCTTCTCAGGATACTCAGTAACCAGCTTTTGGCCATACCTGCGACTTACTGGATGACAGCCCTGCTTGCCTCTCCAGTCTCATATGGACCCGCTTTTCCCCTTTGCTCTGGACATGCAGCTTGCCAAACAAGTCAGGGCCTCGTTTATGCCATTTCCTTTACCTGGAACATCCTTCCCTACCCTGCTTGCCTCAGAGCCAGCTCTTCAGTCCTTTAGATCTTAGCTGAAACAACACCTCCTCCAAGAGGCCTCTCAAGCACCCAGCAGAGAGCCAGCCTCATGTTGAATTTGAATCCTTGGTTCCCATTTGTTTTCAGTTTGTCCATCTCGCCTGTCAGAACGTCAGCTCCATGAGAGCAGGAGCTATACATGCAAAGTTCAGTACACTGCCTGGCATACATTAAGTGCTCGATAAACATTTTTTTTTGAAAGGATAAATGATCCTTGATCCCTAGGCAGTTCCCCAGAAATTCTAGGGGTTGATCTGTAGGGAAAACTGAGGCTCAGCCAGAGCCTAACAGCCACTCCAGAGGGCTTGCCAGTTCTGCAGAGCAGGCAGGGTCCAGGCCAGAAGGCACCTCACCTCCCTTTTCCAGCGTGCCAGCCACTCATCCCGCTTCCGCTTGCTGATGTAGTAGGGATCCCCCGCCTGGAAGGTGAGCCGTGGCATGGGGCGCTGGCGGAGGCTGGACTCCCAGCCCAAGCCACCCCGCAGCCGGCCCCGGGAGCCCTAGGACAGAGAACGGCAGAGAGACAGACAGGCATTAAAGTGGGCACCGATGCCCTGCAGGGTTTGCCCCTCGAGGAGGGGAAGCTGAGGTAGCCACTCACCTCTAGCAGAATAAGGAAATTCTGGCTTCTGGCCAGAGGGGGCAACTGGGGAATTCTGGGCAAGCCCTCCATGGGCCAGGGAGTGAGGGATGTGTGGTGGGCAGGGTACATAGACGGGACAGGACAGGAGGTGCGTGATCTCTGGAGGAGGATGAGCTGGCTGCCTGGCTGGGGGACTTCCAACCTCCACCCCCACTTCCTCTCCTTCTTATAAAGGGATATCAAAGAAGGGGGGAACCCACCCTCCAGCCCCCTCACACACACTCGCCACAGTCCGTCAGAGGTGGCTTTCTTCTAGAATCAGGATCCACAGAGCCCCTGGGGGTGAGGAAAACACTTGCCTCCATTTTCATGGATTCAATGTTGGTCTCCTTCTGTTCTTTGCCTGTGGAAAAGAAAGAACACGGGGACTTTCGGTAGAGTTATAGGGATGGCTCAGAGGCCGCATCCGGAGCCTTGAGGCACTGCTACAAGAGACAGGGTCCTCCCAGCATTTGGGTGTTCATGTATCACCCAAGATGGCTTGTCACGTGCCAGCCACCACATTGGCCCCAAGGACTGAGAGCAAGGCCAGGTTCAGGCCCAAGACACAGAAATAAAAGAGGAACTGTGGTTTCTGGCCCACTGACTGTTTCAGTTACACAGAGGGGCTTAAAGACATCCCCACCTTCCCATTCCCAGTCACAGAGCTCCCTTCCAAAGCAGAGAACAGGAAGGCGGAGAGGGCACAGCAAGGGCTGTGCTCGAGGGAGCCAGACTGCCCAGCCTAACTCGGCCCCCCTCAGCCTGCAAGTGAGCGGTTGCCTCTTTGTGTAGAGTAGGAAGCAGTGCCCCAGAACAAGACCCCAGTAAAGCAAGGTCGTCTCTAAGTCTCATCTGTGACAGAAGGTGCTGGACGTAACCTTCAAGGTCCTCCTGCAGTGATAAATAGTGTGGTTCTATTACTAATATCTCCCTCTGCCCATTCTTGCCTGGCTCTCAGGTCTCTGAGCTGGGCCTCTAACGCAGAAGGCTTGGGTCTGGATGGCAGCTATGCCCCCCTGAAACAAGGTGGATAAACGTTCTAACATATGTTTGGGTGAACACCAAGTGCCTGGAGCAGGACTTGGTCTACAGAGGCCGCTCAATGCATGTTAGCCATGTTCCCCTTCCTGAAGACGCTCCCTGTGGCATGGCGTTTCCTGCTTCTCTTCCCTTGGCTTCTCCTTGTCCTAGGTCAGGATTCCAGCTCCTGGGACATATGGCCTGGGGACAGAAGTCCCCACAGCGCCATCTTGAGGAAGGGCCCTTCCTTTTCCTGGGCTCTCCCAGGCTGTGGGGTCCCCACAGGAGGGCAGCCCCAGCCTCCATTGATGCCAGCTTTCCTGCCCTGTTCCTCGCCTAGCAGAGGCCCTTTCCCTACATCTCCGAGGCTGCTGCCTGGGAGTTTGGTTGATGGCCTTCCCTTGCTTCGGGGGAAGGTTGGGAGTGAGCCCTCCTTTCACTTGGGCCCCCGAATTCCTTCCTCTGAAGCCCATACAGTATTGAGCTCAGGCCCTGAGCAGGAAGGTCACTAAGGCTTGAGGTGGGGGGAGACAAAGAGCCCCAAACGGAAAAAACAGGCCCTGCTTCATCTTCTGCTCTGGGCTCGGGGGCGGAAACCACGCTCGGCATTTAGGGCTCTGATCCTCACCGGGAGGGAGGGCGGGAAGGAGGATGGTCCGTCCTCTCACCGGGCCCCACCTGGGCTCCTCTCTGCACCTGCCTGGGGCGCCCCGACAGGGTGACAGGAGAGGGAGGGGGCGGGAAGGCCGAGGCCGGCGGGCGTGTCACTACTGGGCTGGCGGAGGCGGTGTGGGAGGAGCGAGGTGTCTGTCCCTGTGTGGGTGGGGACTTGCGTACTTGCCAGCGCCTTGTACGTGACCCGCCTTTTAAGGTGTGGCTGTCATGTCTCCGTCTCTTCCTCCCTGCTTCCTCTACGTCCTCTCTCCCACCGCAGCCAGCTCCCCAACTTTTCTTGGGGCCCCTCCTCCCTCGGACAGCAGTGCTCAGCCCAGAGCTGCCAGGAGGGGGCGCCCGCCCTCGACCCCGCTGTAGCCAGGTGGGCCCGCCCGCCCGGCCGGCCTGCTCAGGACGTCGGCCACCAGCGGGGACCTGGAGTCGGGGCCCTCGGCTGCATTCTCTCCCCAGCCTCCTTTGGACCTAAAAGTTTCCTGCCTGCGACCCTTCGTGGCATATGATCGCATGTAGGGGAGTCACCTGTCCATCAGCATGGAAGAAAATCAGCGCTGAACAGAATCAAAGAGATGCCTGAGAACCTGTCCAGCCTCTAAATTTTTCAAATGAGGAAACTGAGGCCAAGGGAGTGGAGTGACTTATAGCCAGAACTGTGATCACATTTCAGGGCTGCAGAATCCCAAGCCAGGTTCCTCGCCAAAGCATCACCAATCTTATTCCTTAATGCTTCCCAATCCCCTGGCCCCCACCCAGGCTCCCCGAAACAGAATGGCTTTTCCTTCTGCAGTTTCCAACTGGCTTCTTTCTGGAATTTTCTCAGACAGACTGCGCATGTTCACTTGAGTGAACTCTCGCTCTCTGTCACACACACACACACACACACACACATTTATTCTCTCTCTCCTCTCTCTCTCTCTCTCTCTCTCTTTCTCCCCCTAGCCTGGCCCTACAAACCACAAACCGGCTGCCTCAGAATGCCACACTTGTCTGCAGCTGCTCTCTCAGCAGCTCATCTGCTCCTGGCCCAGACCCAGGTCCCAGGCAGGTCCAGGTGGCTATGTGCCTTTCAGGGTGGCCCTGGCAAGCTGGAACATGACCCTAGGGCATCTCAGGTCCTGGGGACAGGTGAGGCCAGGGGCTTCTAATGCCTAGTGAGCTAAGGCTATATTTAGTCAGAGGCCACCCCAAGTTCTCTTTAAGATGACTGGCATCTCTTTGACAGGGCTGAGGCCAGGTTCCTCAGGTGGTGATCACTAGCTCAGTACTGGGTCCTGTGCTCAGTCTCTGCAGAGAAGAGCTTTGGACTGACCCTCATCTGGTCCTTTCCTGATTGTGCAATCTTCTGGAAGTAATTAAACCTTTCTGAACCCTCAGTGTCCCCATCTGGAAAACAGAACCAATAAGGGTCTTCCTCACATGATCCCAAGGATGAAATAAGAGAACAGGGCTTCTCAGACTTTAATATGCAATATGAAATCATGAAGTCTGTAAGGTGTAGGTCTAGGTGGAGCTTGAAATCCTGCATTTTATCCTCTCAGGTGCTGACGGGTCCACTGTGAGCAGTGAGGACTCAGCAGCCAACAACAGTCAGTGCTCAGTGAAGGGCAGCACCCGCCCCTCATCACTATCATGTGGCATTAACGCCAGGTCTGTAGGCACCATCCTAAGGCAACACCTGCCTATCCAGGTGCTGTCTTCTGACCTTGTGTTCATCTCATCATCTGATCCTTTCTCCTGGTCGTACTCTTGGGATGTGGGGTTCCTACAGGGACATGTTGACAGAGATATGGGGGGAGGTCCTACGCCAGCAGAATGCTGCCTTAAAGTCCTCCATTTTTGCTGTACAGGAACCAATGAAAGGGCTTACAGGAGTGATGAATGGAACCTGCTGAAAAGTGTCCTGGAATGAGGGGAACTGAAAGGAGACCATGGCCAAGTAACTTCCTCCCTGGAGCTTTAGTCTTCTTCCTCATCTGAACCTAACAGCTGACCTTGCACTGAGTCAGCTGTATGCTGACACATTGGCCGGCCCCTATGCAGCAGCACCCCTTACAGCCTCCAGCAAGCCACTGCCCACCTCTCTAGGTAATACCTCACCAACTTAGCATCCCAGCCATTCTACCAGCTTTCATCGCTCCCTGCCAGCCTCTGCACTTCCTGGATAGCTGGAGCCACATAAGTGCTCTAAGGTTAAAGTCTGGAGATCAAGATTTGGGATGTTTGTGCCCATCATGCTTAGCCTAGATTCTGAGGATCTTCATGCCTGAAAGCCCCAAACCCAGGAATCATCCTTGATACCATTTCCTTACCTCTCTATCCCTGGCATTTGCCATTTCCCTCCATAGAGATGCTGACCCTTCTGTCAGGAGAATACCCCACTTCCCTTTGATATATGCAGTCACCTCCTAACTTCTCATCCCACCCTCCTAGCCCCTCCAGTCTATCCTGGAATCCAGATGGCAAAGAGAGTTTTTCAATCACAGAGTCTGGGCTAGCAGAATAGCCCAAGTGTAGAGCACCTTCTTAGCAAGTGTGAGACCCTGAGTTCAAACCCCAGTACAACAAAACAAATAAACAAACAAACAAAAAACCAAAACAATCACAGAGCCTGCTGGGTTGCCCCTAAGAAGGCAGCCATGAAGGCCTGGTCTGACCACCTGCAGTGCACTCCCTCTCACACTCTTCCCCTGGCTCTCTCCAATCCAGTCTGGTGTCTTCTGTCATGTTCCTGGGTGCCTTGCCCCCTCCCACCTGGGAGCCAACCTAGGAATAGGCATATTCTCATTCTCTCTTCCCAGCCCTCATCTGATGTACTCTAGCAGAACAGCCTGTGCCAGCTTAGGTTCCTTTGTCCTAGTGCCTGGTGGCACCACGTTTCCTTACCCTCAGAGCACTGATCTCCATGCAAAATTGTACATTTTAAAGTGTATAGTCTCCAGAGCCAATAGTGAGGTCCTTGGGGGCAAGAACCAGGATTCTGTTCAGGATGAGTCCCCGACAGGGCACCAGGCAACACATCAAACTGGTGCTTAACGAACACCTGTTGGCTGACTGAAGGAGCTCCTGAGAAAATCAGAACTTCTAAACTAAAAACAAACCCTCAAGACCAAAAAGCAGCCTTAGAGCTCTGGCTCCATCCTGCCAGGCAGGAGGGACTGCCCTGGACCTGGGCAGCAGCATGGCACCTGTCCACGTGGGATCCCACCACCCTAGAAGTAGGGAGCTGGTTGGGAAGGGTGCTGAGCTCCTGGGCAACTCCTCCTGCACACCTGACACTGTGACTGGAGGGAGGGTGTCTTTCTCTTTACCCTCACTCCTCTGAAGTGGGAGATAGACACTAGGGGGCCTGGACAGTTCCAGGACCTACCAGCACTGAGCCCCATTCCAGAATAGCTAAGGAGAGTGAGAAGCTTAACAAATCCTGGCTCTGCCACTTCCAGATTTGGAGGCTGAGAACAAGTCACTTCATAAGCTGAAGCTTTTTAAAATTCCCTTAAGATGGGGATAATAATCCCTCCAGAATAAGACTGTTTGGAGAAGTAAATAAAACAACAAATGCCAAGGGCCTCGGCAAGTGCTTTGCACACAGCAGAGCATCATAAATATTTGTGGAATAACGAGTGAAAGATATTTTTAAATAAGTTTGGAAATCTCTTTTCTGGAAATGTTCTCTTCTGCATAAATATTAGGTTTGGATCCATGCAAAATAAGTTATGCCAATTAATCAATTTACTCACTCTATCATACACACTTGGAAGAAGACTTTTTGAAATTAAAATGCACATATGCAAAGCAACCTGGCAGGGCCCTGGGAGGAACCAATGTGATAATGTATGAGGAAGTGCTGTGTAAACTGTGAAGCCCCGTACAAATGGTAGTTGTCCTCATTACTGACTTGTTTACAGCTTGGTTGGCCCTGAAATCTCTGGCTTAACCTGAAAGAGAAAAGTGGGCAACTTTCCAGGATTCTGAGGCTGGGCCAAAAAGTCCCCAGATGGAGAGGCCACCTTCCTCCAGCCCTCCCCGTGCCCCCTTATCACACCAAATTTCCGGTACAGTCAACCAAACTATGGGGGGTGTGGGCACTTTGCACCAGGAAAGACAAACAGGGCATTATCTGTCACCTTGCATGTCCAGGCCAGTGGCTACACACACAGTGGTCCTCAAGAGCTACAGGTCATGTGGAAAAGTAAGCAGGCCAGGTGGGGGCTGAGGGAAACTGAGGCACACACCAGCTAAGATAGAAGGGGGAGGATTCCTATTACCCTAGTCTAGCAACCCTTGGCATGATGCAAATCCGCCGTTGCCAGATCTAGCTTTTTTTTTTTCAGGGAAAGCTAAAACTCCAGATTTTTATGTGAAATTTCTTGATTTAAAAATACTGGCAACTAATTTTTTTAAATGTTTAATGTACTATGTGGGCCAAATAAACATGGGTACAGATTGCACTCATCCTGAAGCTTCCAGGCCAGAGCCCCGCAAACAGACCATCAGCTCGCACCCCAGGTCATCTTCCTGGGACTGCCAGAGAGCTTACACTCTGCCCCTCAGGAGGCTTGGCTAGCCTCATGCCAGGACTCACCCTCTTCCGCAGGGGCTCCTCGGCCCTCCTTGGGTGCACAGCAGCCATTCTCCACTGCTCTGGAGGCTTCAGTCGGGGTCTCAGCTGCACCATCTCCCTCAGCTGGGGCCCCGCCCTTCTGCCCCCCAGCGGGGCTCCCCTCTTCTGGCTGGGGCTCACTACGGTTCTCCAAGTCCCCGTTGGGCAACAGTTCTGAGGGGCCTGAGTCCTGGGCCATAGATGGGGACTTGGAGGTCACTGGAGGGTCTTTGGGCGTGTCATTGCTTTCCACCTGGAAAGAGGAAGAAACATTACACAGGGGGGGATTAGAACCACGGTCTTCACCTCTTCTGGATCATAGACCTCTGAAGTTCTGGTGCAAGTTCTGTACCCTCTGTCCAGGAACCTGTGTCCATGGACACCTCTGTGCAAGCAGATGCATCACAAGTTTACTTTCAACATCAGAGGGGTCATGGGCTTAACCCTTGAAGTTAAGGGGTCTTGGACTCCAGTGTAAGACACAGGATAAGAAGCCAAGCAGGTTGGTCAGCCTGGTCCCACTGCCCCAGGAACAACCCACTGCACTCTCATTCACTAAGACTCCTCAGTGTCCAAGACTTCTCGGTAGCCCTTCTTCAAAACAAACGCTCTTCTATCTCGTTCAAACTAGGACCCCTCCTCAGAAGGTTCCAATGCTACCAGATAAGTTCTGGGGACCCCCGGCTGGCTTTGCTTCTGTGGTCAGAGTCCTCCCAGTCTTATGGGCTCTGAAGACGTGAAGGTCAAAGGAGACCTCCCAAACAAGCATTCGCTGGGCCCAGGCCTAGTGCAGCTCTCTGCACCCTGGCTCCACCACCACCCCTCCTCAGACCCAGGAGAGCCAAGCCCCACACAGGTCTGAGAACTGGCTCTCTCATGCCTTCCTTGAAAAGCAACACATTGCTGCATCCCCTGGGGCCTGAGGATTGAGCCTTCTAGCCCAGAGAAATTGAATAAGGAATTATGCAACTTGTCTTTAAACGTGTCACTGCTTTCTTGGCCACTGCCTCTTTAGGATCTCTTGGTCTCCCTGGGAAGCAGGTAAGGAATCCAAGGGTCTTCCTTGCTGTACGTGCACACTCTGTCCTTGGCCATCTGGAAGCAAGTGGCCAGGACATCTTGAAAAGAATGAAGGTGTTCAACTTGAGGCAAGAAGAGGCCAGGGTCCCTGCAATCAGCACTCTGCCACTGTCATGGGGCCACAAAGTAGAACGCCAGAGGCAGAACTGGCTCAGAAACCTCAGCTAAGGCACTGCTCTCCAAGGGCACCCCCACCTGTAAGGTGAGGTCACTAGGCTCAACCAACGGACACCCTGTCTCTCTAAGTCAGTTTTTTTCTATTATGAAAGTAGGGGGAAGCAGGGATGGGGAAAGGTTGATCAAAGGGTACTAAGTGACAGGAGTAAGTAGCTCTGGTGTGGTACGGCAGAGTGGGTGACTGTAGATAATCTGTATGTACTACAGATCTCAGGCTAGAAGGATTTGGAATGTTTTCACCATAAATAAATGGTCAGTGTTTAAGGAGACAGATATGCTTAACCTGATTTAAATATTACACATGAATATAGATGCTGAAACACCACATGATACCCCATTAACATGTGTAATTTGTATTTTTATGTATCAGTTAAAAATTAATTAAAAATCAGACGCATGTAAAAATTCAAATCTCCTAAAAATAAATAGTTTTAAAAGATTAAAGGTCCTATTTTAACTCCCTGCCCCCAAAATCACCCCCTCACCACACTTAGCAATCGTGAGTCTTTTGAGTCTTGTTACAGTTGTAAAAACTGTAATACGCATTCACACATGCATCCAACCCCACAACTGTTACGACTCTACTCAGACTTTCTACGACCTGCTTTTCTCCTAGCACGTGCATTAGGCATCTCCTCATGCCAGTGCATGCAGCTCTGCCTCCTGTTTACTCATGCTTCAGGATTTGTGCAAGCGGTGGACACTTGGGCCCACTGCTGCTGCAGCGAATACCTGGCACCTACAGCTCCCTAGCCTGTGTGTATCTGGAGGACACAGGCGTGGGGTGAACTGGCTGGGTTAAGGGCCCTCCTGTCTAAGTTTGGGGACAGTCACCAAGTCACCTGAAGAAGCCTTCAGCACCCATGCACACAGCCTCAGAGGCACTGGTTCTGGTCTCTCTTCACAGTTCTGAAGAAGAGTAGAGGCTACTTCTTCTTTGCAAATCTAAAACTGGAACTCTGAGCCCATTGCTAGCTGGTGAGGAACCGTCCAAGGTGGCAAACAGGAAAAAACTAACAAACCCAGCGTCCTCCCAGGTATGCTTCTCCCCTGGCCGGGTTCCCTACCTGAGGAGCCTCGCTGCTTTCCCAGGCTGTGGTGTGGAGTACAGGCAGACCCGCCTCCGGGAAGATAGAGAGGCTACTGGGAAGCTGTACCCCTGCAGTCCTCACCAGATGGGGACCTGAGGGCTGCAGCAGGAAGAGGAAGTGTCTGGTGGGAGGGAGCAGGCCAAGAGAGCCGGGGTGGCTAACAGACCCCTATTTACTGCCTCAGCCTCCATCCCGTGTGTCTACCCCCTCCCCCACCAGGACCTACAATGCATCTCTCTGAGGTAAATCCCATGACCATGCAAGGTTAGGTTAAGAGGGGGAAGAAGAGCAGCCTGCACTGGTACCCCAGGAGCCAACTTCGGGGGTCCAGCTGTGTCAGGTACAAGGCCTCCAACATGGCACTACAGGGAGCTGGGCATGGGTAGAGCCAGTCTCTCACTGTGGGTGGGCCTTCCTTTAGCCACCTGCTGCCCTCTGTCACTTCCTGCCTGGAGAGCACATGACCTCCTCCCACCCTGGACTCACTTCCTGTTGACTAGCAGCTCCATAGCATAGGGACCCAGGAATGACAGCCCTGAGATCCAACCCAGTCATTCAAGCCCACCAAGTAGGTGATCCCTGGCAGGGGGTGGGGGGTTGCCAGGAGAACCCCCGTCTGCAGGAGCATCAGACACACCATAGAGGTGAAGGACATGCTGGGCAGATGAGGGACAGACAAGGGCATGCCGCAAAACTCCAGGCCCAGGGTGAGCTCAGTGGTTTAAATGTCCCACACTATGGCCCACACCACACTCTTCACCGCTATCCCTACCCTCCACTGCCGCCTCTCTGGTTCTGATGAGCCCTGAGTCCAACACAGTTCTGGGATTAGGGACAATTGATGACTCCTGCCATGGTCAATTCCTGATCCACCTTGACATCAAGAACGTCCCTGGGCTAACTGTGGTCCCTTATCCCTCTGCAGGGCCCAGGATAACTGTGTGGTACAAATCCACCTATAGGAAACCACAGAAAAGCAGGAGGTCCAGGGAAGATGGCCAAATCAGTTCTCCAATCTCTGTGGAGGAGCTGGACATCACCATAGGGGCATCTCAGGTGAGCAGCCTGGGGGAAGACCAGCCAGGTCAGGTCTGGACTCTTCTGCTCCCACCTGCGAGCTACCCTGAAGTTCCCCTCTCTCCTTTCCACTCCCTGTCCCTATACTTGTCACTCTTGGTACACAGAGACTTGCTTGATTCAGGGTCATTTAGCCTGGAGCAGGGCACTGACAACACTCAGTAAATATTCCCAAACCAGGGCTAGGAATGAAGCTCAGTGGTAGAGTGCTTTCCTAGCACACTCAAGACCCTGGATTCCACCCCCAGCACTGAAAAAAATAAGTATTTCCAGTGGACTTGCCCAGAGAAAGGACCAGGTTAAAAGTGAGAACGCCGTGCTCCAGAGCTAGGCTCCTGCTGCCATGTCGGATGGAAGTGTCAGACCAGCTGCTTTTTGTTTGTTTTCATTTTGACAGTGCCTTGGAAAGAGACTGTACACCCTGGAGACACACATTCCGTCTGTCACCCCTGGCCATCTCAGAAGGCACCAGCAGCAGCTGCAGCTGCAGGTGACAGCTTCAGAAAGGAAACAGCAGCAGCTAGCACCCCCTCTCCTCCCTTGGGGGATGTGCAAAGCAAGGATCCCAGATTTGAGCAAGGCTCAGTCCTGTATCCACCCAGCATGTCTTATTCTGGCTCTTCAAACCCTGCCTACCACCTCCAGGAGCCCTCGGAATTTGCTGACCTTCACCTTCTTGCCAGGTGAGACCACACCCCAGCCCTAGGACAAATGCCTCCTGCTTCCCTGTTGCCCACAACCCTCCTTAGTCTCTCCTGTGAGCAGCGATTCCAGGCGGAGGGCATCAGCAGTTCTCCAATGGGGAAACTGTCACTCCCCCCAGGCCATTTGGCAATGTGTCTGGAGACGTTTTTGGTTGTCACATGGGCAGTGCTGCTGGCATCTAGTGGACAAAGGCCAACGATGTTGCTATGCACCCTGCAGTTACAGGACAGCCCCACACGGGGAGTTATTCCACCCCAAATGCAATGACCAGAGGCTGCCACCCCAAATGCAATGACCAGAGGCTGCCTTCTTTTTTTTTTTTTTTTTTTTTTTTCTTTTCAGTGCTGGAGATCAAACCCAGGGCCTCGTGCATATTAAACAAGGGCTCTCCCCCCAACCCCATCCCAGCCTCTGGACTTCCCTTCCTCCCTCCCTCCCTCCCTTTTTGGTGATACTGGGGTTTGAACTAGGGGCTTCACACTTGCTAGGCAGGCACTCTACCACTTGAGCCACACCTCTACCTCTAGTCCTGGACCACTTTTTTCTAAGGAACGTTAAAAAAAAAAACAAAAAACAAAACTTAGCTGGGCGTCCAGTGGCTTACACCTGTAATAAAAGCTCCTCAGGAGGCAGAGATAAAGAGGATCATGGTTCAAAGCCAGCCCAGGCAAATGAAAAACCCTTCACAAAAACAGGACCAGTGGAGTGGCTCAAGGTGAAGGCCCTGAGTTCAAGCCCCAGTACCACAAAAAAAAAAAAAAAAAAAAATTTTTTTTTGGAGATACCTTGCCACATAGTCCAGGCTAAGCCTGAACTCAAGATTCTTTAGCTTCAGGCTCTCAAGAAGCTGGGATTACAGATGTGTCCCACCACACCTGGCTCCCTAAGGAATATTTTCTGAAAAACTTAAAAAAAAAAAAAAACCCTGTGGTAAAGTACTAAAATTTATCGTCTTTAGGGCCAGACATGGTGGTGCACACCTGTAATTCCAGTTACTGGACAGGTAGAGATCAGGAGGATCATACTTTGAGGCCAGCCTGGGCAAAGTTATCAAGACCCCATCCCAACCAACAATCCTGGCATAGGTCTGAGGTTCATACCCTGGCAAAAAACATGAGACCCT